AAAAAAAAAAAAAACACAAAAAACTTTCACAGCTACATATCTCTAAATCAAGTCCGACTCTGTCTCTAACTCAGAAGATCTCCAAGACCCCCGGCCCCGCGGGAAAAGGGGACGCGGCTACTCTGTGCATTGGCCACTCGGCAGTTTCCTGTGGGTTTTTCACTAAGCTGCTGCTGTTAGTCAAAAAGTTCTGGAAAGAAACTCAGAGGCCAGGAGTTGATGTAAAAGGATATCTCAGGACTTATATAGGCCCCACGTCCCCTTCTGAGCAGGATTAGCTATTTTATTTCTGCCGAGCGCTGACCTCAGCAGCGCCGGGGTTTTCCTGTCGTGGATTGTCGGCCCCTGGTGGTACCAGCGTCGCCCTCTCTCTCTCTGAAGAAAGCGGCGTTAGCTTTCCCGGGCACCCGTGTTCCTGGCAGCAACTTAAATTTGCTGAATGTCGTAAATATTAACAAAGCTTGATAACAGTCAGGATCCTCCATCCGGCCTTAAGCCATCGTCATGGTGACCAGCACGCTCAGTTTCCCGTGAGCTCGCTGCTGGGCGGGTTGCCGCTCATGTCGCTTGAGTTGGCGGAACTGTCTGCAGGGCAAGCGTTTCCTTTAACCAGCAGCAGCACCTGGGTTTGAAGCCCGGCCGTGAGATGTACGGTTGGCCCTTGAACAACGCGGGTTCGAGCTGTGAGGCCCGTGTGCGTGCAGATTCTCTCCACTGACCCGCTCAGCCCCGTGGATCTGGGCTGCTCGAACCCGCCTTGTCCGAGGCTCGGCCGGGTCGGCCTGTCGCTCGACGGAGCTGGAGCTGATCCTGACTTAACCCAACTGCAGTCGGGACCCCAGGCCCCCCTGAAGGGTAAATTGAGTCGAAGGAGACTTTTCGGAGCTGAGGGGACCTGGCCCTGGCTGTTCACACTGCTCTTTCCCGCCCTCCCCTGAAAGGCTGGTGGTTCTCGATGGCGACAGTGCCCTTGCCCCCGAAGGCGGGCGCTGGGCTCCTGGTCAGGCGACCTGTGAGGTCTGAGACCTCCCACGGGAAAGCCTGTGGCGGCCTCCCGCCCGCTTGTCCCGAGCAGAACATTTCCGGGAACAGGCCGCTGGGAGGTGCGGTGGTGTCCACGGTGCCACCTGACGAGGCTCCACCCGAACGCGTCCGCGGCAGAGCGCGTTGACCGCGGCCTGTCGCACAGCCCGCTGTTGGTCCTTGCCTAACGAACGTCTCCTCTCTCTCTCTCCTTCTTTTCCAGCCTATTTCCATTGATGAACTGGATAATGCCGAGGTCCTAATTTCAATTCTTTTCAATGTCCGTGGTGGTGTTTCCACGACACGTTTCCCGTACACACTGTGGTCTGTCTTGGTCTCTGTCGCATCCAGTGTCTGACTCTGTCGTGTGCCGCGTGGGGAGGGGCCACATCCTTCGTGTCCGTGTTGTTAGCAGACGACCTGTGTTCCCATGAGTTCGTTTGCCATCTGTCCTTGGGGGTCCCACCTGAGTCTAGATGAAGATTTTCTAAACCGAGATAAGATTTCACTCACTGTCTACAGTCTGAACTGAGCTTGTGGTTGGCGCTGGCCATCCGCCTGTCCCAAACGCAACGTTGATGTTGTTGAGAGCATTTCTCCGTGTAAAGCGGGTGGGGAACGTCTGGCCCGCGGGCCGTATGTGGCCCTCAAAATCATCTGCTCTGGCCCTGCCAAGGCAACCGCAGGCGGGACTCAAAATTCAATAAATCTAGGAGCTTTTTTCATAGCTAACGTTTAAGCTGATAATTTCCTATGACCCTCGAATGACGGTTATAAATCTCCAAATGGGCCTTGGCAGGAAAAAGGTTCCCCACCCCTGGTGTAAAGCATCAGACATGAAAGGAAGCGACTGCATTGGTCCAGCATGAGAGTATTTTTGAAAACCATAGTCTCTTGATCTCCGCGTTGGGAAGTGNTGACTGCATTGGTCCAGCGTGAGAGTATTTTTGAAAACCATAGTCTCTTGATCTCCGCGTTGGAAAGTGCTGAGTGCGAGGGAGGGGAGGGGAGAGGTCGGGGGTCACGGTTAATTTTGCCCGAGAACGAATTCCAGGCGCCCATTGAGTCTCTCCAGCTACGGGCTTGTGGTGGGTCCGGAGCGTGCGGCACCCACGGCTTCTCTAGGAAAGCGGCTTCCGGGCGAGGCCGGGAAGGGACGCGCCACCCGGTGGCCTCTCCCTGAGCTACCACGTTAGCCTCCCGCGCTGGGATCACCCTGGGGACCAACGGACGAGAAGTCGTTTTGTTTGGCATTTGAGGGCCTCTTAAATATTTTCTGTTTTGTGAATATGTTTCAGGGCTTCTCACCACATGTTTAGGGTGCGATACGTGCCTGGTATGTGGCACTGGAGATTAATGTGGGAAATTCATGTATATAATTGGGGAGT